AGACAACGCACCTGTCACCCAAGAGTTGATGGAGATGTACAAGATGAATGTTTTCATGCTTGCTAACACAACATCCATTCTGCAGACCATGGAGCAATGAGAAATTCTGACTTTCAAGTCTTACTAATTAAGAAATAAATTTCATAAGGCTATAGCTGCAAAAGACAGTGTCTCTGATGGATCTGAGCAAAGTACACTGAAAACCTTCTGAAAGGATTCACTATATTAGATACCATTAAGAACATTTGTGATTCATGGGAAGAGCTCAAAATACCAACTTTAACAGAAGTTCGGAAGAAGCTGATTCCAACCCTCATGTATGACTTTGAGGGGTTCAAAACTTCAGTGAAGGAAGTTAACTGCAGATGTGATGGAAACAGTAAGAGAACTAAAATCAGAAGTGGAGCCTGAGGATGGACTGAATTGCTGCAATCTCATAATAAGACTTTAACGGATGAGGAGGTGCTTCTTTATGGATAAGCAAAGAGAGTGATTTCTTGAGATGCTATCTACTCCTGGTGAAGATCCTATGAAGATTGTTGAAAAGACAATAAAGGATTTAGACTATTATGTAAATTTAGTTGATAAAGCAGCATTTACTCCAATTATTAAAGAAGTTCTACTGTGGGTAAAATGCTATCAAACAATATCGCATGCTATTGAAAAACGTTTGAGAAAGGAAGAGTCAATCAATGCAGGAAACTTCATTGTTGTCTTATTTTAAGAAACTTCCACAGCCACCCCAAACTTCAGCAACCACTACCTTAATCAGTCAACATCAAGGCAAGACGCTCCACCAATAAGAAGATTACAACTTGCTGAAGGCTCAGATGATGATTAGCCTTTTTTTAGCAATAAAGTATTTTTAAAGTATGTACACTGTTTTTTTAGACATGATGCTACTGCACACTTAACAGACTACAGTATAGTGTAAACATAACTTTTATATGCACTAGGAAACCAAAAAATTCGTGCCACTCGCTTCACTGCAATACTTGATTTATCGCAGAGGTCTGGAACCCAACCTGCAATACCTCCCAAGTATACCTGTACAGCTATATGAATGAACAAGATAAACCTGAAAATAAATACTATTTAGAGGGAAAACATTTTGCAAATGATACATACAGTTTATAGACATTTACTTAAAGTTAAAAAATATACTAAACAATAATACATATATATACACAACATTGTAAAATGATTATAAATCAATAAAAATGATTATAAAAATAATACATATATATATAGTACACACACACCCAAACACTAAACTATAAAGTATAAAAATATTATATACTAAAAACCAAATAGGGACAGTAGTTACCGCAGGAAAGAAGAATGAGAGGGTTTAATTGTTGCTCTAATTTTTATTTTAAAAAATCTGAGGAAAATCTGGCAAAATGTTAATATTTCTTAAAGCTGGGAGCGAATACACACGTATTCATCATCTTACTCTCTACCAGTCTCTATATGCTTAAAATAATTCACTTTTTTTTAGCAGTGGGAAACGGTTAATTTTACATAAATAGAACTTTCACAGGTGGAAGAATAAAACCTCTCTCTTCCAAAGAGCAGTCCAAATTTTTTAAAGTCAAACCACTCATAAGAAAAGGTAGCAGAGTGTCACCCCAGCTTAGCAGCACAATTAAAGCTTATTACTTGTTATGCACCTATCATTATTAAACTAGCAACTGTGTTCAAGCATCTTAATAAAAGATTACAGTATTTTAGAACGTAACATTCGAGTATGTTGCGGATTTTTACATAAGTAAAACTACCATAGGCGATCTGACATTCGAGACTCATCATCTGAAGTAAGATGTCCAGATTCACCCAACACAAAACACTGTGAAACCCTTCTCTTTATTCTACTTTAACTTTTGAGTCCTAGATTCATTTAACGCTGATTAAAACCAAACAAAAAAACCCATAGGCCTTAGAAAAATCATACGCTATTTAGCACACAAAGCCACTCACAGGCCTCAGTTTCGAACTCCCGCTTTAAGGTTGCTTTATAAATCATTACCCGAAGTATTGCTGGAAAAGAATGCAAAGTGTATAGGCTTGAGTTCCCGTAGCATGAAAGTGACCTTTGGAGCCTTCACCAACTTCTCAAGAGATGGTCAAAAGCTTTATATAGAGACTTTGCTCCCTACTGAGCCGGGGCTGGGGAAATGCTTCGTTCACCTGCTACGGACTGAAAGTCTACCGCTTTAAGGGAGGGAGCGAGGGAGAAGAGTCAAGCAGTTCCGTCAGAGTGTCCCACAAACAGAAGGGACAGGTAGCCGCTCCTTTTCTCCCACCGAGACCAGCGCCCAGGAGTCCCCCGAAAACGTCGTTATCGAGAGCGACCGAGTCAGAAACAGCTGACTGACATCGAAATTCCTCTCGCAGGCGCCGCCGCCCCACCTCCACCCCCTTAAAGCTTGGGAGGTGGGGGCTAAATGAGAGGGGGAGGGAGCACCTCAACCCCAGCAACGGCCTCAACCGCCTCCTGCCAAGTCCCCGCTCCCGCCCACGAAACTCGCAGCCTGAAGAGTCGCACACTTACTGAAAAGTGGGACCTGGTCCTGGTCCCGGCCCGGCCCCCGGAATCCGGCGGGTCTCCCAGGGTTTCGGGGGAGGCGGCGGCTGGGACGCCATCTCCTCCGCCTCCACTCGGCTCCCGCTTTACGCTGGGACTCTCCGGGCCCGGGACAAGAGCTGCTTGCGCGCCAGGCACAACTTGCAAAGCGCCGAGTCCTCCACCCGGTCCGCCCCTACAGAAGGGACGTGGCTTGTAGAGCTTTGCTGGCTGGGACTACAGTGTAGGAGTATGTATTGCACTAATTCATGGGAAGAAATGCTCTCTTTATCTGTCTTAGAAAGAATTTCCGTTCTGAACCCGATGGTGAGAGTTCATCGATATTTCTGGTAGCGGCTACTATGACCTAGACGTCGGAGGCCCTTGGAGGCTTCTCTGGGACAGCTCGGACTCGGGCTGGGAGTAATTTTACCCCACGCACTCCTCCACCCTCGGGGGAGGTGGGGTAGGAGGCTGGCAGCCAGACAGCTTGACTGATAAACCTGCAAACAAGTAGGGGAGAGTCCACTCAGTCCTCGCGTGAAGGAGCTGGTACTTTCGTTCTAAAGCTCTCGTTTCCTTGGGGAACATAATATCTAGACGCAATAGGTGCGTTGTCTTTAGTCTTCCCCATTCCCTCTGAGGGCTGGAAAGGGTTAAATCTCAGGCTCCGGCGTCGTGGGAGAAGGTGAGGTAGGGAGGTCTGAGGTGGGGGGGGGTGCATACTGGGTACACGAGAGGTGTGGAAGGAGGGGATCGTTTCCTTCCTGCTGGAGCGGCTTTGTTAGCAAGGAAGGGTGAGTGGGAAGTTTCTTGAACCCGACTGACAGGGAGAAGGGCTTGCTTGGTTGCCCAAAGACTCGAGGTTAGAGCTGGGGATGAACTTTCCAGAAGTCTAGAATAGATTCCGCAGCTGAGTGTATCGGTAGCGCGATGAAGTTATGAGCGCCCCCTTCTTTGGAAATCCACATCCCACCCCCACCCGCACAAGACGAATGACACCCTTCTGAATAGATATAAGTTTTAAAAGATCACAGGATGTGAGATTCAGTCTCCTTATTCTAATGGTTTTCACATGTCGCGCTTCTTACCCGTTTGCAATAGTTTCTGTAATCAACCGAGAGGTGAAAAAAAAAATCCGTCCTCTCTAGTAAATCAGGGACGGGGCTAGTTTGTGGAGAAGGCACTGGATTCCGGTAGGGATCCTGACACGTGGGAAGAGGTTCTGTTGCAATGACTTGTTACAGTTCTTTGTATAAACACGTAAATGAAAAGCAAACATCTTAAAGGCAACCAACAATGGAAACCTTATAGCATAGAATGCATTTCTCAGGGCTTTCCTTCAAAGAAATAAATCTAATTATAAAACAACTGATTTCTGATGTCTTATGAAATCCTGTCATTTCAGCGCTGTACACTGAGATGAAACAACCAAATTTAAGGCGTAACGTATTTTCTAATAATGTTAACGTGCCTTAGAAGTCTCTACATTGTTGTAGGTGAAAATGATCTTGAGAGGTTTGTAAGTCTATTCCTTTATTAACACATACATAAGGAAGAGAGGGGGTTTTTTGTTGTTTTTAAAGTCCTCTTCAAATTACTCAAGACGGGAGGTTTCCTAATTCTGAACAGGTTTGGGAAGTTTTCAGAGCCAACATATTGTAATTTGTCATTTATTGACTAGTATGCTACGTTTATTCGACAGAACCTACTGGAGAAACAAATACTTGTCTTTAAGGCAAAGGGGGAGAAAAGAATACATTTTAATACAACAAAAGTCTCCGGGGAAATCTTTGATACAAAGTACCCTTTTAAAGTACTTACTCATGAATTTATTGAGCAGGAGGGCTTGTTTGTTTCTCTTTTTGAGTTAAAGGTTAATTCTGAATTAAATGAAATCCTTGACCTCAGCTAATGAAAAGGAGAGAAGAGAACTTAAAAGGGTGAGACAGTTTCTCTTTGAGGGGAATGCAATCAGGAAAACACTTTAAAGGCTGATAATCAGTTCCTCAGAGAATCCCAACCTCTTTTCACCATCAAACTAGCAGATTAAACGGTCTGGGGGAAGAGATTCAGAGTATTAAGAAGAAGAAGAAGAATTCAGATTATTATAAATAATAATGACCACACACTTTCATTATGTAGAGGGTGTTCTCCACATATTCTGTACTTTCTGGAGCTCAAATTTACTTAGGCAACCCTAAATCAGTGTTTCCTAATCTGTGCGTCTGAAAGTTCTCACTGGTGTGTCCATACAAGCCTGGCTTTCTTCTCTTCCCTTCCAACTCACTTGTTCATCTGAATTAGAACCCAGGCACAGGCAATCTGTTTTTATAGTCGGCCTGCTAAACTGATTTTTATGGTGAAGAGTTCCATAGAACTATCTACCTGTGTTTCCCATTATTTCGTGTCAAGGATCTACTCCTCATAAGTGGCCACAAACATTTAGAATCTTGCAAGTAAGTAGTGGGTTTTAAAGAGTTAGCAAACACAAACTAATTCTAAGAGTCATCTTAGTAAGCATTTGGAAAGAGCTTCACCCTCCCAAAAATATTAAGCAAGTTCATTTGAATTACAAAACTGTGCAAATTAAAGGTGCCAGTCTTTTATCTGTATGACTGTAGTCATACCATACTGTACCATACAATCATGGCTTTATGAAATACCAGTAGTTCCTCATTTTAAAGTAATGTGAGCTCATTCATTAATCAGATTTTTTTTTTGCCATAAGGAATGATTAAGTAATTTAATTTTTACTACCTCTCCTTCCTGGCAGCAAGAGAGTTATATTGGATTTCCCTCCATTATCTGTGTAGTATTTATTCCTAAGTGAGTTTGTTCAAATTGAAAAGATTTTTGACAATAACTACTCTAAAATATTTTGCATTTAATTTGTTTTTGTTGGAGTTTTGTGCATGATGGAAGCAGATTTTTCTCATTTTGTAACAGTTGGTTGTCATTTAGTTATTTTTTTATCAAAGTAAAATAGATGTTTTTGGATATAGTGATCAGTTTGTTTTAAATACCTGGGCAGGGGAGGGTCTAGCTCAGTGGTAGAGTGTGTGCTTAGTATGCACGAGGTTCAGTCTCCAGTATCTCCATTAGGTAAGTAAATCTACCTCCCTCTCCCTTAAATACATACATACATACATACATACATACACACATACACACATACATACATCCATACTTGATTGCTTAACCATCATTAAAGTCAGTTAAGTATTGTGTAGAATAATCTTTATTTTTTTTCCTAGCAAACTAACTTTTAATTTCTAACAGTAAAGTTTATTGAATTTATTACTCTTGTGTTCTCAAATAGTACTGAGTGGTACAAAATAAAAAGCAGAATTTCACTCTGTATTGTTGTTTTCATTACCTTCTTCAGAGACAGCCATTTTTTAAATTATTTTTATGTCTTTTGATTAATTTAGTTATGTTGATGCACTTTATCATAATCTAGAATGTTAAAGTCCTGAACAACTAGAAACTCTTACCTGATGCATCTAAGAAGTTGCCTTCAAGTTTATGTTTCAATATGGATATAGTGAAAGGGACATTATTGGAGAGTACCAAATACTGATTTTCAAATATAAACTGTTATCCTTAAAGGTGATAATATATTTGTGAAAGTAAAACACAAAAGATGCTCATTAGTTTTACTTTTTCTTCCTTTCTAGTTATAATTATTTAATATGTTTCCGCTGACTGAAGGAAACAAGCGTGTGGCCCAGTTGTTGCTCAGTACTGGTACCTGTCCAAGATGTATCTTCAGATTCTGTGGTGTGGATTTTCATGCACCATACAAACTTCCCTACAAGGTATTTTCTTTCTTTCTTTCTTTCTTTTTTAAAGTTAAGAAAGATTCTCTATTTTGAAATCAGTATTTGTATATTTAAGGGTATGTATCTGTTCATAACTCTTCATTAAATTTTTAGAGAACTATAATAAAATAATTACTGATAATGGTAATTTGAGGATTGTCATAACCATACAAATGTAAGTTCCTTCTTAAGTGATTATATCTAACATTTAATGTAGTGGAATCTTTGTGGAGCAATTCCCTGGTGCATTTAATGTTTGTATATACCTTTCCTAAAGAACATCTAGACAGAATATCACAAAATAGTGCTTTTCACCAGATGTTAGTAAGATGTAACAGGAGTGGGTGATAGTCCTGAGATCTTCTATTAAGTGGAAGCATTGTGGGTTTGGTTGCCTTTTTTCTTTTCCTGTTTTCTATATTACCATTTGTATTTACAAATATGTATTTACAACCCTCTAGAAGTAAATGCTTATCATCATAACTGCTATTAATAACAACAAAGTAATATACTGAGATCTTTGACATTTATGGTAATATACAGAGAGCTTTGATAGTTAATAGAGTATTTCACATAAAATACATAACATTTTATGAAATATGTTTTATTCTAATAGTGATATTCTATTTAGAGGCAAATACTAATTATATATGTAAATATGTACTTATATAAACAGTACAAATACACACACAAACACATGCATACATATACTCAGTTCCTTATAATTTTTTAAAATTGCCCAGGAGTTAGCAATAGCAGTCATTTCTCCTTTGTATTAGTTGTTTCTATTATTTTGGAAATAATAATTATATTATTCATATAGCATTATTATATGTCAAATTCTCATATAATCTTCATGATAACCTATTAGGTAAGTACATACTATGATTGTCTCTATTTTCAGATGAAGAAACTGAGGCACAGAGAGGTTAAGCAACCTGCTCAAAGTTACACAGCTATTAAGTGAGCGAGCTAGGATATGAACTGTCTGAATCCAAAGCCTAGAATTTGGAGTTAGAAGACGTGGATTTGAATCCCAGGTCCACCACTTTCCAGCTTCAATTTTCTCCTCTATAAATGGGAATGATGATAACATCCACCTCACAGGATTTTAAGGGACAGTATGTGAAAACTCTTTGAAAAATGGAAATGGTACATATGCTATGTATATTCATCAATACACACTCTGACTATAAAATAGTAAGATTGATTTTGTATAACTTATACATTTTTTCAGATACATTATAATCTATTATTTTATACATATATTGTAAGATTTAAATATATAACAAGACAGTGTTATCAACTTTTGTTTGTATCATTTTATGTAAATAAACATGAAAATATTTGAGGACTTTTTCTGGGTAAACATACTTATATTTTGGTATTTTCTATTCA